AGTCTTATTTATAGAAATAAAAAACATATTACTTAAAATTTTTGGTTTTTCTCTGTTGCCAAATAGAAACCTAGTCACCTTTGGTAGCTGATATTGTTTGTAAGTGAAATTTACGTTTAAAGATTGTTTAAAAACAAAACTCTGTTTAGGAAAATGACTGTCAATGAACTCCCTTACCCCTTCCCTCTAAATAGTATGTGTCCAAAGGATGTGAAATAAACATCTAGATCAAGGCCTACATCTGGGAAGGCCTAGTCTCCTTTCTTTCCTGTTCTCCATTAATGACCCAAAATATATGTCGAGTGGTTTAAATGTTGAAATAGATATTATTCTTTTCCAAAGTGTATTTGCTACCCTTGATATTTAAAAGAGACCAGATAGACATTTATTCTTCTAAATTTGTCAAGATTTACCTGAAATTTTTGTACTTAAGGCTGAAATTTGGCTGCCTTTACTCTTTGTTAAATGCATACTTTGAATCTCATCTTTGGAACAAGCCTTGCTACTCTGTGCTTATATTGAGGCTAATTCATGCATTCATGTTTGTGTGAAACTCATATAAAAGACTCTACAACTATAAATTAATAAAAAAAATTTAAGTCAACATTATGTCTCTGTGTTCTAGAAAATGTTTACTTGTTAATTGTTAAAATGATTTTATTGAGGGATAGAAACCTTTCATTTTATAGTTGAAGTTAAAAGTCTCAAAGTACAGATACCACATTTGAGCCTTAATATTCAAAGGGATTGTTAGAATAATACTGTACACAAATAATTTTAATTTAAGACATATCCATGTACTATTAGAATGATTGGCTCTTGCATCTTTTTTGTTTTTTTTTAGAGGGAAGATATGAAATGAACCCCTAAAGTAGAGGGAGGGATTTATTACTGAATAGAGAAAAGCATAATGGGAAAGAGACTTCAGATACTTCACGTTTGCTTCAGATCTGTCCTCTTCACCTTTATTAATTCAGGGCCAAATACTGGCTGTGGCCTTAGGTATTCTTGTAAACTTCATAAAAACTAGTACTGTCAGCTTCTTCACCTACTGTATACCCAGCCCCTTTAGCAGGACTTATACAAGAGAGCCAGTGAAGTAGATACTTGTTGAAAGAACAGTTGCCCAAATTAGTGTGAATGCCCAAATTAGTGAAAAATAAAAATGGATGCCCAAATTAGTCTTTTGTTAAGACAGTGAAGATCTTATAATGTAATGTTATAGAATCATAGAGTTGGAGTGAACCTTGAAAGTCTTTTGGCAAAACCAGACAGTTCATGAATCAGCTTACTGTCTCTGGCAAGTCTTCTTTTCGTCTTTCTGTGGATTTGTCCAGTGGCAAACGCACTGAAATCAGATTCATCCTGAGGCCTAAGTAAAGTAGGTCCATTTAATTTTGAACTTTCTCTAGTGTGGCTCTGAAATACAGGGTATAGGAGCAGAGACAACAAACCAAGAAGTTAATGAAGGATTAGTTGAATTATTGGTTGTAAATAGTGGAATGCTAGGAGGATAAAAATCGAAGTCTAGGTAACTGAAAAGGTCAGCATTGAAGTGACTAAACATGACACCATTTTTTGGACTGGTACTGCTTTTGTAACACCCTGAGCTCTGTAATCTTTATAGTAGGGATGTGGAATCCGGGGAGGGGAGAGAACCCAGGCCACCACTTTGCATACCTCTGCAGTGGTGTGGTGGCCCTCTATGCACCCCTGCCTCTTACTCACACATCAGGGCTGCAGACCACTAATTTAAAAGGACTGGGACCAGCAGATGTGAATTTCTCTTCTTTAGAACTACAAGTCCGTACCCATTCATTCGTTCTTGATGGATTGCTAACTGTATGCCAGGTGTGGTTCCACCAGTGTATGCACTGATGCTGACACATCAGTGACCCAGACAAAGGTCTCTGCTCTTCTGGACTCTTAGTGCAGTACTGTTCAGTAGAAACATAGCATGGGCTACATATGTAATTCTGAACTTTCTAGCACGCACATTCAAAAAGAAAAAGGAGCAGGTGAGATTAATTTTAATGTATTAAATATAGGCGGGGCCACCCTGGTGGCTCAGACAGAAAAGAATCAGCCTGCAATACAGGAGATGAAGGTTCAATCCCCGGGTTGGGAAGATACCCTGCAGAAGGGATTGGCTGCCCACTCCTGTATTCTTGTCTGGAGAATTCCATGGACAGAGGAGCCTGGCATGTTACAGTCCATGGAGTCACAAAGAGTTGGACCTGACTAAGTGACAAACATTTTTTTTCACTGATACTAATTTTATATTATATTAATAACATTTAACACATTTTAAATATAATTAGTATATGAATGTCATTTAACTGTGTAAGCAGTATGTAAGTTATTGATGAGATACCTTACATTTCCTTTTTGGTACTAGGCCTTGAACTTTGGTATATTTTATATGTATAGCATCTCAGTTGAGTTAGCTATGTTTCAAATGCTGGGGAGCTACTGTGTTGAATAGTGCAGCTTCAGAATATAGTGCTTGCTCTCTGTGGACCATGAAGTCAGTCCATCTGGTCTGAGGTAGAGAATCAGTTCCTGAAAGTATTAGAATTTTCAAATAATCCAGACTCCTTATCCATGGCCTGCAAAGCTTTACATGGTCTGTGCAGTAATTTTATGACAGTATATAATGGTATTTTATGCAAATGTAAACCACCTGGCAATTTGCTTAGAAATTTTGACACAGTAAAGGTTTTTTTTTAATTGAGGTAAAATTCATAAAAGATTTACCATTTTAATGTGAAAAATTCCTTGTCATTAGTGCATTTACAATGTTCTGTAATTACTACCCCTCTTGTCCCTGGCAGTCACCAGTCTGCTTTCTTTTTCTGTGGATTTACCTATTCTTAGTATTTCATATAAGTGGAATCATATGATACGTGCTTTCTGTTGTGTCCGACTTCTTTCACTTAGCATAATGTTTTTGGGGTCCATCCACATTGCAGCACATGTCCACACTTTATTCCTTTTCATGACCAAATAATATTCCATTGTTTGCATATACCATAATTTGTCTATCCATTCCTCTGTGATAGACATTTGGGTTGTTTTAGCCTTTTGGCCATTGTGAATAGTACTACTGTGAGCACTCACGTACATGTTTGTTTGAGTACCCATATTTTACTTCTGTCAAATGGTGATAATCTGCTGTATAGGGTTATTACAAAGATAAATGAGACAATGCAAGCGAAACTGTTAGCACAATTCCTGGTACAGATAGCACTGGCTCTGGTGCTGTCAGTACTAAAAGTCTTTATGTTCGCACCTCCCTCCTCGTTTTTCCTTCCCCAATGGCCTGTTTTTGTGTTTCCGTTTTCTTAGTCTTTCTCTGACACGTTCATTTCTGAGTTCTGATTATTAGAGTTAGAAATCTAGGACCTGGGTAGATTAAGAATGACCTCACTGGAAGGAGGAGGAGTGGTATTGGTGTAAATGCTTCACGCAGGAGGCTCTTGGCAGTCCACACTTCCTCATTTCCTCTCCTTTGTGTGACACTGTTGGTTTTTACTTTCGTCAGTAGTTGGAGGGGCCACAGGGAGGGGTGTCTCTGGATTTACTTTTTCAGGATAGATAGCTGTCATATTGCCACCTCAGTGTTAGATGGTGTAGGGAAGAGTGATTTCTTAGGGTCATGGTGATTCTTGGGATATGTTAACGTGCTTTAGGAATGACATGGATAATTTTAAAGAAAGGAGAAATTGAATGATGACATTTTCTTTCATCAGAAGAAGAGGTTCTCTGTACTTTACGTTTTAGCCTTTTCCTAAAAGTTTAATGATCTTCAGAAAGAAGTGCTTGTTAACAATGCTCTCTTGTAAGAGTTTAGGTGTATCAGCATTTCAGTTGAGTTTTTAAAATATTTCAAAAATATACAAAATATACAAAATATACAAAAATATACAAGCAACTCCTGCAGCTCTATTCCAGAAAAATAAGTGACCCAATCAAAAAATGGGCCAAAGAACTGAACAGACATTTCTCCAAGGAAGACATACAGATGGCTAACAAACACATGAAAAGATGCTCAACATCACTCATTATCAGAGAAATGCAAATCAAAACCACAATGAGGTACCATTACACACCAGTCAGGATGGCTGCTATCCAAAAGTCTACAAGCAATAAATGCTGGAGAGGGTGTGGAGAAAAGGGAACCCTCTTACACTGTTGGTGGGAATGCAAATTAGTACAGCCACTCTGGAAAACAGTGTGGAGATTTCTTAAAAAGCTGGAAATAGAACTGCCATATGACCCAGCAATCCCACTTCTGGGCATACACACCGAGGAAACCAGATCTGAAAGAGACACGTGCACCCCAATGTTCATCGCAGCACTGTTTATAATAGCCAGGACATGGAAGCAACCTAGATGCCCATCAGCAGATGAATGGATGAGGAAGCTGTGGTACATATACACCATGGAATATTACTCAGCCATTAAAAAGAATTCATTTGAATCAGTTCTAATGAGATGGATGAAACTGGAACCCATTATACAGAGCGAAGTAAGCCTGAAAGATAAAGACCATTACAGTATACTAACACATATATATGGAATTTAGAAAGATGGTAACGATAACCCTATGTGCAAAACAGAAAAAGAGACTCCTATGTATAGAACAGACTTGTGGACTCTGGGAGAAGGCGAGGGTGGGATGTTTCAAGAGCACAGCATTGAAACACGTATATTATCTAGGGTGAAACAGTTCACCAGCCCAGGTTGGGTGCATGAGACAAGTGCTCGGGCCTGGTGCACTGGGAAGACCCAGAGGGATTGGGTGGAGAGGGAGGTGGGAGGGGGGGACCGGGATGGGGAATACATGTAAAAAAAAAAAAAAAAAAAAGATACACTATGGTTGTGATAAATAAATAAATAAATAAATAAATTAAATTTAAAATAAATAAATAAATAAATATTACTTTAGCTTTTTTATCTAAAAAAAAAAAAAAATAAAATAAAATATTTCTTTCCAGTTAACAGAAGATGAGATTGCAACCATTCTCAAATCTACTTTGAAAGGACTAGAATACTTACACTTTATGAGGAAAATACACAGAGATATAAAAGCTGGCAATATTCTCCTCAATACAGAAGGACATGCAAAATTGGCAGATTTTGGAGTTGCTGGTCAGTTAACGGTAAGTGTAATACTTTTGGAAGCACTGTTGGTTTGTATTGTCCGGGTTCGAGTGTGATTAAACATTGATAATACCTTTTGAGGATTATGAAAAGAAATGCATAAATTCATTACTGTCATGAAGAAGAAGTCATTATTTAGGTATTATTTAATTATTTTTATTTACCATTTAAGAGACATTGGATGAATATGAAAAAATATATATTGCCATCAAAATGCTTAAATATTTGGAAAGGAAAGCTGCATTTTTCCATTTCTGTAGGTTTTATTGTTATATGCTATCTTTAATGAAGGTAGTGGAGTTAAGTTACTTATGGACTCTTGGTTATTTCAGAATTCTAAATTCCTAAATATGTCATGTCACAACTGATTGAAATTTTAGGAACATAGTCAATTTCAGATATAACCTGTAGTATTTGAGGGTTTCAAATATGTAGTTTAAGTAATACACTGGCAAATACATTTCCTTAGTGTTTTTGTAGTTATATCTATGTAATGTTCTTGCAGGATACAATGGCAAAACGCAACACTGTGATAGGAACTCCGTTTTGGATGGCTCCTGAGGTCATTCAAGAAATAGGCTATAACTGTGTGGCTGACATCTGGTCCCTTGGCATTACTTCTATAGAAATGGCTGAAGGAAAACCTCCTTATGCTGATATACATCCGATGCGGGTAAGAAAATGATGGAAAATGTCAATGTTAAAAGCGCTGCAGTTTTGTAGTGTGAGTGTAAATAAACACGGAGTAAAAAGATCATTTGAATTTGGATTCTGTGCAACAATTAGTAAAATTATCTGTCAGGGCTTAGTGACTGTTCAGTTCTTTCCACCATCACATCCTTAATTGGGAGGGAAAGAAGTGAAGCCTGTATTTCTCTCTGCAGTGGCTGTTCTTTCCCCCCAAAGTATACCTGCTACATTTCCCTATGATTTATTTATTTATTTATTTTTTCCATTTATTTTTATTAGTTGGAGGCTAATTACTTTACAATATTGTAGTGGTTTTTGCCATACATTGACATGAATCAGCCTTGGATTTACATGTGTTCCCCATCCTGAACCCCGCTCCCACCTCCCTCTCCATCCCATCCCTCTGGGTCTTCCCAGTGCACCAGCCCTGAGCACTTGTCTCATGCATCCAGCCTGGACTGGTGATCTGTTTCACCCTTGATAGTATACTTGTTTCAATTCTGTTCTCTCAGAACATCCTACCCTCGCCTTCTACCGCAGAGTCTAAAAGTCTGTTCTGTACATCTGTGTCTCTTTTTCTGTTTTGCATATAGGGTTCCCTATGATTTAAATAGAAGAAAGGGCTGGTAAATCCACTGCATTATTCAGTTCCTCATATTCTGAATATAACAGTGGAGGCTTGGAAGAAATCCATTCTCTGCTACATACCCTGCATATTGTACCTTTTTGTTTTTGTTTCTCTAGTCCAGCTAATATTAAAAAAGAATCCCAATTTCTAATATTGCTATGTATCAAAAGCATTTATTTTTAGTGTTCAGTGAGAAAATGGAATTCCTTTTTTGAATATTATTTTATGGTTTTATGAACTCCTTTTCCATGATAAATTTTTGAGTCTGAAATGTATAGATTGCATATTCAAGTCTAATTGCCACTGCTTTAGGGTTTGTGATGATACAGTTTTTAAATTTATTAGTATGTGAATCTCAATTCATTATAAATAAATACATTTATCTTTGTAAACTTGTTGCCCTCTAGTGGCTGTATTCAACTCAAGAAGAAAGGATATAGGCATGAAGGCAGAAAGAAGGTGGGGGAGGGGGAGAGAGAGAATGTGTGTGTGTGTGTGTGTGTGTGTGTGTGTGTGTGTGTGTGTAAAGAAAAGAAGATGGTTTCAGGGTAGATGGAGAAATGTGTGAAGTAAACAGATGGGAGAAAAAGAATGCAGTATTTTAGAGTATTTGAAAAAGAAGAATAAATTAAAATTCTATCTGATACCATAGTGCTATTATAAACTGAATTTCAGTAGTGTAGATAATAGTGTACTATACTGAAATATTTAAAAATCTGCCTGCCACTCAAGAACTCTTTGAGGAATATAATTGTATATGATATGTGTTATCTTCCTTGTACATATAAACGCCTCTTGCTAAAGTGAAACAGAAAAATAGCATGAATTCTTTGAAAATATTGATATAAACTATAACAAGGTCAACATAAAATGATCAATAAAGTTCTCATTTCCTTTCTGATTACTAGATATCTTTGGTACTTTCAGCTAGAAAGTTTTTGGGGTGATCCTTAGCTAGATATATTTGAGTTTAAATTAGTGAGGTTAACCAAAGTATTCAAGACAGCCTAGCTAAGTGTCAGAGCTGGGATTTAACCCAGGACTTAAGGGTATTACTGTTCTGCTTCCTCCAGTATAAATCTTATTTTTTCCAACCAAATAGTTCCACATACTCAGTTTGACCATGAGGTAGTCTTTCTAGCAGATAGCCAAGGATTTAAAAAATAAAGCACAGAGTAGCTTCTCTCATTGCAAATTACATGTCACTGTGTCACAACCAAGTATGCTCCTAATCCAACATGATTTCTTTTTTTAAAAAATTTCAAAAATGTTTATTAAGAATTGAAAACTGAGTCAGTCATTTTTAAATTAAAAAAACAAAACAAGAATCCATGACCTCCTTCCTTCTTGCCCAATTAATAATGGAACCAAGTTGAGAAATTCTGGACGGCTGGGCTTGGTTAGAGGTGCCAGTTAAGTAGCCCCCGCCCCTGGCACGCCTGCACATCTTCCATCCGCCAGTTCCTGCTGTGTGTGCCTGGGTCGGCACCTGGCCCATCTCCATGTGTGTGCATGGGACTTTGCCCTCTGACATCGTACGGCCAGAAGTTACAACTCAGTGACAAAACTCAGGATTCCCTTTTCCTCTCGCTTTTTACATAGTTCAATTTTGGCTTGAATGACACCTTCTGTGCTCAACAAGTCTACTTTCTTAGTTTTCATTTTATTTTTCTTACCCCCATGGTAATTTCTTAGGGCTGTCCTAACATACTGCCACAAATTTGGTGGCTTAAAACTATAGAACTTTATTCTCTTACAATTCTGGAGACCAGCAGTTTGAAAGGAAGCTGTTGACAGGGCTGCACTCCTTCCAGAAACTCTAAAGGAGACTCCGTTTTCTGCCTCTTCAGCTTTGGGGTGGCGGCGGCCAGCAGTCCTTGGCATTCCTTGGGTTGCAGCTGTATCTCTTAAGTCCCTGCCTGCACCTTTTATGTTACTCTCTCCTTTGTGAGTGTCTGCGTTTTCCTCTTCTGTCTGCCTCAGATTTTCCTCTGCCTTTTTCTTTAAAGGGCAGATGCCATTGGATTTAGGGCCCACTCCAGCAATCGGGAATGATCTCCAACTGCAAGGATTTTTTTTTTCCAAATGAGATCCTGTTTAGAAGTTCTGAATATTAGGATATAGATGTATCTTTTGGGGGCCACTCTTCAACCCACTATGTCTTCTACAATCTGTTACCTTTTTTCAAATTATATGTATTTTAAGATCAGTAATGATTAATTTCAGGATCTATTTTCCTTGTCTTTTCTCAAATTTTTAAAATTGTGGTAAAGTATTCATAAAAATAGTATCATTTTAACCATTTTTCAGTATACAATTCAGTGGCATGAAAGTACATTCACATCACACTGTCTACTATAGAAGTTTTTATCATCCGAAACTAAAACTCTATACACATTAAAAAGTAACTCTTCATTATCTCCTCCCCCTAACACCTTATAACCATAATTCTCTGTTTCTATGAATTGGACTATTCTAAGCATCTCACATAAGTGAAATCATACAATATTTGTCCTTTTGTGTCCAGCTCCTTTCACTTAATATAATGTTTTCAAGGTTCATCCATTGTTGTAGCATGTATCCAAATTCTTTTTTAAGGCTGAATAATATTCCATCATATAAATGCCACATTTTGTTTAAACATTCATCCGTGTTGGACACTTGAGTTGTTTCCACCCTTTGGTTGCTGAGACTCTTGCTTCTTTGAACATGAATGTGCATTTATTCTCTGCGAGAGTCTGCTCTCAACTCTGTGGCTATATACTCAGAACTAGACTGCTGGGTCATATGGTAATTTTATGTTTAAGTTTTTGAGGAACCTCTCTACTGTTTTTCATAGCATTGTGCTATTTTACATTCCCACCAGCAATACACAAGGATTCAAGTTTCTCCACATTCTTGCCAACGCTTGTTTTCTGTCTTTTGATAATAGCCATCCTAATGAAAGTGAAGTGTTACTTCATGGTTTTGATTTACATTTCCCTAATAACTAGTGATGTTGAGTATCATTTCATGTACTTTTTGTTCATTTGTATATCTTCTTTGGAGAAACGGCTATTCAGGTTATTTGCCATTTTAAAATTGGATTGTTTTCTGTGTTGTTGAGTTTCTGGTCTCATTTCAATCAGCTTTTCTCTAGTTTGGTCTGCCGTTTTCTATTTGCTGGCTGAAGTCTCCTAGCCCTTTGACTTGTTACTGCCTGTTTATTGTTCTTCCAGCTGTCCCCCATCACTTTTTGTATCCAATTCTAATACTCAGTCTAAGTCCCTTTGTAATTTTTTTGGGTAGAATCCTCTCAGTCCTTCCCTTGGGAGGTCTTTGAGTCAAAATGTATCTCAGATTTGCTGTCCTACAAGTAGAGGATTGCTTATTTGTATTTAATTGTTGTATTACTTTGCTTTGTGTAATAGATGTGTTCTAGGCATTTTGTATAAACATTTAATAGTTGTAAATTGGAGTTGACATTTTGGGGATATTATTTTTTAAAGATAATTTTTATTGATTCCTTTAGTGATGAGAATAATGCTGTTGAAACTTATTTGCCATATAATTGTGTTTATTTTTTATCATGGACATACCCATTTTAGCAGTAATACAAAATTTAATCATTAATATTAACATATTTTGATTTAGTGTTAATGTTAAAATAGATTCCTGTTCTCATGTGGAGGCAGGAAGTCAACCTTTGGACCAGTTGGAGAATATATCTGGTGTCCGACATTGGTTATTTTGTGTCAGAGAAACTAAGTGTCCCCTAAGTATGGATGTTTGAATTTTTGAAGACAAGGACCCTGGAATTTTCTTCTTATATTCTTTTACTTCTGTTCCCTTTTCTTTATTTCCTTCTGCATATATTCAGGGCACATTCATCATGTCCCAGTCAGACTTTGAGGATGTAGTGGTAAGCAGTACAGGTGTGTGTCCTGTTCTCTTGGAACTTCCACTCCAGTGATAACGTGCATTCTGATGTTAGAATTATTTTACTTTCTGTGTGTGTGTATGGGGAGGAAGTACATATATATTCAGTTGTTTAGGATGTAAGACCATACACTGTAACAACGTTTATTCATTTATATGTACATTACAAACCATGAAGGATCACATGCCCATAGGATTTTTGTTATTTTGACGTCGTAGTGCTTGTTTTTCTCCTTTGAACTTATCCTCATCTTCCTTTTTCTCCGTTTCCCCCCAGTGCTGCCTTGACTTCCTCTGACTGTTCCCTGTTTCCTAACAGTGTGCGTACATGAATGCTCACACAGTCCGTCTCGAACCTTCACGTTTCTTTCTGTTCGTACACCATTTCTTCCCCCATCTGTTCCCTATGTTTTTCTGCCTGATTATTTTAAGTGATA